CTCTCTGAAAAAGACAAAGACTACTATGTGGGGCTGAGGACAGTGTCTGGGAACCGTGTGACGTGAATAAAAAGCTCTGAAAGGTTGTGTGTCCTGACCCCACCAGCAGCTGCGGTGGCTGTCCCCTGAGACTTGCTGATTCTGAACGGAAGTGGAATAATATAGAAACCTGAGTGGTGCTAAAAATGCCAAGGGAACTTTCCAACTCCAAGTGCCACAGTACAGGATGCTAATGAGAAAAGGTGCAACCACTGAGCCCAGGACAAGCCAGCGAGCACACACTGACGCATCAGCTGTTGCCTGACTTTGACATAGCTGTGCTATCAGGGCTGCTCAAAGTGTCTCACCAGCAGAGGAAAGGGTTAATTCTAGCCGTGTGACTGTAGGGGCATTGTCTAGAGTGCCCTACCTGATGTGTGTGCACAATATTGTAAGGTGACAGCAGGAGACGACACCACTGAGAACCAAGAGGAAAAGCAGGCGCTAGAAGCAGACCCACAGGTGAGCGGAGACCTCAGTGAGAAGCATGATTAGTGTATGTAAAATGGTGGGGGAGGAGGTAGAGGGAGGGAGGGAGAAAGAGAGAGAGGTAGGAGGGGGGATCTGAAACTGTTTGAATCCGTCAAACAGGCTTAGGGAGGTAGCATATACCTGTAAATTCCAGCCAAGATGGGAAACTGAGGCAGAAGGCTAGAAAGGCTGAGAACAACCTGTCTTTCACAGTGAGATTCTGTCTCTTTTCATTCAAGTGGTGCACTTACATCCGGACAAAACACTTATCCATGTAAAATAAAAACATTTTTAAGAGCACATCTAAGCTAAGCAATGTGATATTTACACTTAAGAAATCAACTCTCAAGTTTCAGAGAAGATCAGGCAAAATTGCCAGAGCTGGCAATCAGGAAGATAAACTAACAGAAACATCAGAGTGGAAGCTTAAAAAGGAAAAACATAACAAAAATGAAAAACCCAAACAGCACATCATATGATCCCAGTGCACAGGTTAAAGGAAGCGATAAAACCCATGTGATTGGATTTGTCAAAGGAGAGAGGGCGAGGTTAGAATCCCTGAGGATGCCGGGGCTACCATGTCCCCAAGCAACAAAACACAGTGGTTCAATGAGTCCACCCGGTTCTCTGGAAACAGGACAAGGGCACAAATATTTCTGTCTTACTATCTAAGTAGCTTTTCCATTGTGATAAAAGCACCATGGCCAAAGCAGCTTATAAAAGAAAGCACTTGATTTGGGGCTCGTGGTTCTTGAGGATTGGTCCGTGACCATCATGGAGGGGCGCATGCCAGAGAGCAGGCATAGAGCCAGAGTAGCAGCTCAGAGCTCACGTCTTGATCCATGGGCCTGAGACAGAGGGAGCTAACTGAGAGTGGTGTAGACTTTTGAATCCTCAAATCCTGCCCAAGTGACACAGCTCCTCCAACAGGGCCACACCTCCTCATCCTTCCCAAACAGTTTCAGCAGCTGAGGACCAAGCATTCAGATCTATGAGCCTGTGGGGGCCATTCTCATTCAGACCACATCTATCTTGTTCACAGGCGCATAGAACACAGAATCGTAAAAGGCAACATTTAAAGCAGCATGACTCTAAAGACCTAAAAATAAACACCACAGAACCATAGAATAGATTACAGACAGCCTAAAACACAGAGACGTGGGGATTGTCCGTTTCAACATGGCAGACTTCTCCATTTTTTTCACATAGAGCCAGAGATTCTAGCAAAATGCTAATCGGAATCCCGACGGGCTTTGGGGCTGGAACAAGGTAGTTAATGTGATAAATCTAACTTTTCCTTGGAAATGCACGGGTCAGTGAAAATGTAAACCAGCATAGGTTAATCTATAAAACTTTAAATTTTTAAAATTATAATGCGTGTTCATGTGCATGCTTGTGTGTATGTGTGTGTGTATACGTGTGTGTGTGATGGTGTACATGTAGAGGTAAGAGGACAATTTTATGGGAGCTGGGACTCTTTCTACCATGTGAAGCCCAGGAATCTTCATGATATGTAGCAAACGCCATTTCTGGCTGAGCCATTTCCCGAGCCTAAAGATGG